TGAAGGAAAATTGAGTGGAAAATGTCTGTAAAATTTCTGACGTGGAAATGGAAAAATGCCACAGTGGCGAAAAAGATATTGTTTTATTTTACAGGTCATTAAGATTTTCAACCAAAATTGATTTCGTGGCAATTTAACGTGACATCTGGCACTTCCGTCGACGGAAGGACTAAATTGGTCTAAAAAATTGAAGTATAAGGATATTTTTAGTATTTTTTGAAGTTCAAGGGTAATTTTAGTCCAAAAATAAAAGTTGAGGGACTGAATCGGGGATATAACCATTAAACTTTATCAAAAAATAAGATATTAATTTCTAATTTTTAATCATTACCTCTTAAAAAAAAACAAAGCCTTTATAAGAGTTAATAATCTCGAAGTCATAACATCGTTTTTCTTTATGTTTTTAATTTTTCTGAACATTATTTATTTTAATTTAAATGTACTGTATTTAAATGTCATAATTTTATGTGCACATTTATCATCTTTGTGGCATCTTTATAGTTTATACTTTATGTACAAGAAAAGATTCTTTTATAAATAAATTTTATATATTATATTTATATAAAATTTTAATATTTTGTTTAAAATAAAAATTAACAAGTTAATTGAAACATCCATTTTTAGAAAATATATCACAAGAAAATTGAGACGAAGGAAATAACAAATGGTCAATTGATTACAGCTTTACAGCTTCACAACTTTATGGTTGTGGGCTCGTGTTTTGTACCTGCAAAGCTCCTTTACTAATTTTTTACTAATTTTTTTCATAAAGATAAAGAGGGTGTGGCTCGAATTCAACGTTTTAAATTAATGTAAGAAGCCTTTATAAGTATTCTCTTGTTGTGATTTATTGATGATCACTGTAATTTAATAATGTTACTGTATTAGTTAATTATATTTTTGATCAATAATTAAACTTGGTTATATCCCCGATTCAGTCCCTCAACTTTTATTTTTGGATTAAAATTACCCTTGAACTTCAAAAAGTACTAAAAATATCTTTAAATTTTTATTTTTATATATTTAATTTTAAAATAAAATATCTTTTTTCAATAAGATGTGTATAATAGACAGCTATATTATCTTAAAATGTATATTTATAATAATTAATTAATTTTAATTAATATTGGTATTTTATAAATACTATTTATATTTACAGTAGTAAAAGA